TGTAGGTGAGTAATAAGCAGGGTCATAAGTTCGTATGCTGGCCAGAGTAATGTTGCAACTGCCCATTTTACGGATGGAACGATCAACCATCGCATGCATAGATTTTTTTTATGTCATTTATAGAAATGTTCTTCAGTACCTAGGCTACGGCTGCTTGAATGTCTGGGATATCATCATAAAATGCTCACTTCATCTTGGTTTTCAGTTTTGGAAATAAAAAAAAGTCACATAGTGATAGATCAGGCGAACACGGAGGATGGTCGATGAGAGAAATCCCTTTTTTCATTTAATTCATGTGGAACAAATCGCGCACAGACCTTTCTTTTCCCAAATCTTCAGTTAAAATTCTCCAAATAGTGTTTTTACTCGTATTCAATTCCTCAGCCAACATTCTTGTAGTAAAATTTGCATCGATACCAATAATTTCACGGACTTTTTCCACCAGTTCAGCACGATTACTAGTTTCTGGACGTCCTGCTCTAGGGTCGTCATTTAAATCCTCACGACCATTTTTGAATCGTGTAAACCACGTATAAACTTGCTTACGACTCATACAATCATCACAATAAACTTTTTTCATTAATTTTTTTTCAAGTTTTGACAGAAAGTTTTATATTTGCTCTTTGTTCCATTTTATTTTTGAACCATTAGCACACTTTTGGTTTTACTGAAATGGCTGTCACTTTTACATCTGTCATGCGACTTACATGATGTTAGGTGCGTTTGAAATAGGATGAATGTATCTTTTTAATGTTGCAAATTTTCAATAGATGGCGCTGTATGTTGTATGATTTAAATATAAAGTTCGGTTATTTTTAGGACAGACCGTGTTTATAATTTTCGTCAACAAATTCACTAATTTATGTGTTCATTTAGTTTTATTTCTACTATTTTTATCCCTTGTAAATCAGCACTAATAGTCCTTAGTTTTCGCTTGTGTCAACTATTTCTGGGTTAAAAACGACAAAAAATGCAGATTATCTGAAGAGTTAAATCTGAAATTGATCCTTTAAAAGTATGAGAGCATTGAGGCCCACCCCATCAGATATCTAATTAACTGAACTTCACTTCCAGCTCTTTGCACTTAAACTAGTTACCTTAAAATTCATCACCAAGCACATTTCGGCGGACATTTCTAATGCATTCTGCACAAATTAAAACCATACTTACTACTATATAAAGAAAATGCTTTGTGAAGCATTGTGCCATCTTGATGCTTTTATAATTTGGTTATAAAAATAAAATGAAAAATTACTTTATTCTCATAAGCGTTTACTATTTTTTTTTCGCTTCTACAAAATCTTTAATTCTAACCCCTTTGATCTATGGCTCGACTGCTGCGACTGCGCAACAGTAATACTGACTGAAATGAATCTTATAGCTGGCTATTTTCTACGCAGATGCCGTCGAAGCTTCTTATCGTCAGGCGTACACCGATATGCCAGTGATAAATGTGCCCGCCAAGTGACTGTGAAACATTAATCTTGAGGTGGCGTTTTATGGTGTCACTAAATAAAATTACCAATATTCATGCGGCCACAAAGAAGTAACAAAAATTTAATAAAGAATTTTTCAAAGATGCGGAGAAACAATGGTGTTAGTAATCTGAAATTAATTACTTGAAAAACATAGCGAGTGTGAAGGATTCTCTTTTGCATCTAAATTTACCTTAAACCATCTGCAATTAAATGTGTTTGCTTCAGTTGAAACTGGTTGCCGCCAACGAAATTCCAGTTTAAGCTGTGGAGCAGAACAATACTTCCACTAATTGCGAACAATTTTTAATTCTCATGGCGTCAATTTGTACCTCCCTCCTCGACCATCAACCGGCTGTTGAAAGCTAATAGTCGACAAAAAAAAAATAACTGTAAACTCTCCAATAAAATTAATTCCCAATTCAATATTAATTAGTCGACGAGAGTCGAATCTGCCTGTTTTGAATATCTTCTGGATATTCCCTCAACAGAAATGCAAGTACAATATATACTCGTACATAGATATGATTGTAATAGCAAAGATTGACAAAAAGATTGTAGCTTTTTATTGCAAAAAATTTTACGAAAAGCGCCGTGCACTTTTTAACCTAATGAATGATTGATAGTTTCGAGAAGCCAAGGTTATTTTATTTTTTTTATTTTTCATTTGTTTAATTTTTGGGCCGGAGTATGTATGTGTACACGTACAGAGCAAAATGACAAAAAGGTATACTGAAAAAAGTATGATTAGGATGATGAGTGTATGATCAAGCTTTGAGGTCTCTTAGTCTGCTTGTATATTTGAAAGCAAGAGTCTCTTAGCATTTTGGAGCATTACCCTTACTTTTTGCCTTCTTACATTTACTCTGATGTTGTTTATCACCGTCATAAAATCCTTAAGAGCTCATGGGGTCTGGATAATATCCCCACTAGTGAACTTAGATCAATATAAATCTGATAGAAGATATCCTATAGGGAATAACATGGAAAAGTTAAAGTCTATCCCCAAAATCTAGCTCAATTATTGTCATCAAAAGTGATTAACAGACTCATGTTATCTACACTGACTTCAGACTTTGACAAGGTCTCTCATTCTTTGCTTCACTTTAGACTCGCTCATTTCGGTCCTTCTACTTCCTTTCTCAAGTGGATTTCATCGTACTTGATTGGTGGATAACAAGAAATATTTTTTAAAATTTTGTACATTACTCTTCCTTGTATTGTATCAATGATCTTCCAAATTTTGTTCTTCATTCTAAACACTTTTGTACGCATAGCTGTAGCTCTTTAAATCAGCTCATTCTATTGAAGATGGAGATGTTTTGCAACTTAATCTAAATAATTTAGTTATGTGGTGCTCCTAAATTTAAATAATTGCAAATATATTTGTTTCAGTAAATCTTTACAATCCTTTGCCTATATGACACATAATCACCATGTTGAACAAGTTGCTGACTTCATCGATTAAAGTATCACAATGGACCCTAAGCTAAGTTTCCAAAATCATATAAAGGCTTGTGCTTATAGAGCAAATTAGTTTTAGTGGCACATGCATTACAAAATTACTCGTTACTTTACTTATTAGGTCCACCTTGGTATTTCGCACAGTTCGATGGAGTACGCACTACCAATTGCATAGTGATAAATTGCAATCTGTACAAAAGTAATTCGCTTTAATAAACTTAAATTGGGATGCGGATAAAAACCTGCCTTCTTACAAAAGTCCCTTACGGTTCACTAATCTGCCTAAACTCTAGAGCCGTAGAAAGATGCTTGGAGTTTTATATTTAACTAAATTGATGAGCGGTGTCATCAATGGACCAGTCCTACTTAGCGAGCTAAACTTTACCGTCCCTTTAAGATCATACCCTTAAGACACTTTAGGCTTCTTTCATTGTGTTTATGTGGTAGCAGCTTTGAAATGAACGGCATTTTTAATTAGATATTTGTGACTCGCTTTTCTGCAACAAAACCTACTTACTGAGTGCTTTAAATAATTAAGTAAATTCCTTCTCCTTTTTCACATGTAAGATGTCGCAGCTGATGAGCAAATCGGTCCTCGATCTGTTGGATTTTTCGATTATCCCTCCGTTGTTTGGGCGGGAGGTGGGTGACATCTGTGTCATATATGTAGATCCCATATAAATGTACGCCTAAAATACTCGAACGGGGCGCTAAATCGCTAAAAATATTTTCTATTGTTTCCAAATTATTGTTTATAGTTATCATGGTTTGGGCAAGAATGTATAAATTAATTAAATATTTACTGACTCTACTATCCCAGCGTCATTATGGAGCTAGTTCGGGGCTAATTTCTCGCTGCGTGCAGGCTTCTTTAGAGAACAAATTTTGACAACAGTGTTAATGAAACGTATAAAGGCTTCGACATGGTTTCGTGACCCAAAAAACAGAGATCGGTTTTTGCGTTAAATATTATTAAAATATTTATACACTAGCTGCATGTTGTTATCTGTTTAGATTACTATAATAAACAACCCTTCGTAAATGAGCTGGCGTTCCAGCCTTTCAGCCAAGCTGGCCATGAACCTAATGAGTAATCAATGGAAACTGGAAAATCTGCAAAACAAATTATTAAATTAACTAAACGATTCCGCAAATTAGTCAATTCTTCACATCTCGTGACAGGAAATAAAATAAATGAAAGATCACGCTTCGTTTAGACCAAAAAACAAAAAGAGGTAATACCCTTGAGCAACATGTTGCGCCCGATAACAAAGCAATGTATATTCTTACCGTTTCAGCTCAAATGTTGCTGAGCGCTATTCAATTACGGCCTGCACAAGTCACTCCAGTTTGCGCAAACTGTATACCAATATGCAAATTTCCTAGCTTTACACACCCGCTTTATTGTACTGCGCAAAACTTTGCTCTTTTGCTGCGTAGATTGCATACAAATAAGTATAAACGTTTCTTTTGCTTTGCTCTCTTCATCATTTGCTTTAGACTGCTTTTGATTTGCTTGTTTTTCAACTTTTCTAACATCATACCGCGTTCGCCGCTTACTCGACAGTTGTTAGGACTGCTTGGCGTGATCTTCGTCAGCTTGTTGTTGTCGGTGCTGTCTCAGCATCATCTTCGCTAACGCGCCGCGCCGCATATTCATCTCACCAACATCGCCAGCAACATCACCACAACCACCACCACCACCACCACCACCACTACCGCCTTCTCTCTGCTACGCTTTTGTTACTATCAACAACCAATTGTTATTATAGCTTATGACCAGCTCTTTGTTTTGTTGTAATCTATTAGCTTATGTTGCTTTTGGCTCCTTTTTTTATTTACCTCTTAGTCGAGTTCGTTTTGTGTGTCGCTGAAGAAGCGCCGATTCGAAAATAAGCCAGTAAGTACTACTAAAGTTCGTCGGCACATTTGCCAAATGAAACATTCAAATGTTGGTAACGATCGCGTGAAGACGTCTTCTGCGTCCGCGTCTACGATTTTGCGTCAAATCTTTTGGGAAAATCTTTAAAAGCTCAAACGACTTCCTCAACTGTGAATACACGTATATATGTACATACATATTTACATCCAAAGTGGTGGGTTAGTTGAAACTTCGAAATTTTGAAAATATTTTACAGTGCATTGCATACGTAAAAAAATAAATAAATTTAAGAAATACTAAACGTTAAAATATCCACGAAGCTAAACTGTCAACATTTGACCGTTTTATTTTAAAACAGTTGCACGAAATAACAGTGTGTTGTGATAAACTCAAATATTGTTTTCAAGTGCTTAATATTATATTTGCTTTTAAAACGTGAAAGCTCAGTAAAATAAAGCGAATTCGGTACAATTTTTTTTTATAAGGACATAAAGAGTGTTGAATAATAATCAAAAATCAAATACTGATACTCAAAATAAATAAATATAAACAAGTAAATTTTAAACTATACAGCAAACTGCAACAACATTTAATAAAATGGACTATTTTAAAATATGTTTATCTGGATAACAGAAAAACAGTAAATTAAAAAATTAAATTAAATAAAATCTAAATATTTCATCAAAAGTGCAAAATTATATAAATCACGCTGTTATTCTCATCAAAAGTTATTTCGAATATCAAATTAAAAAATATTTATTAACCTCAAATATAATTCGACGGTTTATTCAAACCAACGCCTTAACATTACTTTGATGCAAGAAATTAAACCTTTTTGTCTAAAGTCTACCCAGTAAAAGCTGTTAGTTAATACGAAAGGATAATTNTATATATATAATTGGCGCTTTGTAACCACTGAAGCGATTTTTCGCCGATTTTTCTAAATTACTTTTGCCTAAAATTCAGATTTTAAATATTTTATGTCCATAGCTAATATACAATATTTTATATAAATTCCATATATCAGTGTTCTAAATATTTTTTTTAAATAATTATACTTTAACAAGTTGCATTAATTCAAAAAATTTATAATTAGGTTTTTGTTAAACGAAATCTCACATAAATTAAATTAAGTTTTATCAAAATCAACTCATTTTATCTACACTTTATTTTTGTTTTCTAAGTGTTGCAAAAAATTTAGACATTTTTTTTCATTGTTGTTAAAAAAAATCGGCAACTATAACTTCTATCGTCCAAAACCGTTGTTGTATTTTTTTTTACAAATTCCAAAAAGAAAGATCCATAAAACTAAACCCAAAAATAATTCTACAGAATAATGAGTTAAAAATAAAAAAATAAATCCAATGTGGAAATTTTTGATTACTTAACAACTTAAAAAGTTTCGATCACAAAAATTTTTAACTGCCTCACGACTTGTAAATCAATTTTCCATTTTCAAGTTTAAGCCCTCATGACATTTTATTTTTCTCATTCAAATATATATTATATATATTTTTATAACGCTGTAAAAAAATGAAAAGATTTAAACATATATAAAATACCCGTTTTTTCTATATCATTTGACAATTTTGAAAGGGTAGAATAAATATTTTCCTATGAGTTTTCCATTATAAAAAGTTAGATGGCTCTCACTGGCCACAATTTGCTAATAGTAGATAACTCGGCAAAAATTTGTAACCAGCATAACTATAACAAATAAGATTCTAATTATAAACCATGAAAGGCCTAAAAATTAATTGTAAAAGAGAAACATTAAAAGAATTCGTTTAACGACACATTATTACATTAATTTTATCGTTAATTTTTTTGTTAAGTATATTTGTAGTCATTTGTTTTTCATATTCAACCTCATCACAAGGTAAACTCAAAGTAAAATATATTTTAACATTATTCTGTGTTTAAATCAATTTCTCAGTGAAATAACGGTAAGCTTCTCAAAAAGTCACTTACATACACACTTGTGCAGAAAGACTAACATAAAAATATATACACAACTTCACCACGAGAAATAGTGCAGTATTCAAAAAGAACAACTTAAGTGCAATAAAATTTAAAACGAAGGCAGAAAAAGCGGTTTAACAACAACAACTGTACACATACATATATCAAACTAACAGTGACAGCTGACAGTGACATAAATGCGACCTTTTAAAGGTGAGTCGAATATGACCTTTATTATATTCTTTAAACCAATACATATGTATATATTTCGTAAAGTATTCCTTTATATGAACCAGGTTTATACACAATCCAACAGTATTCTGCTCAAAAGCACCGCAAAAACCCTTAAACTTAATAATGTCAACATCACAATTCCGTTCTATAAATGTTCTATATATGCAAAGTCCAAAAATGTCGATAAGAAATTTAATTTTGTTATAAAAAATTAATTTAAAAACAAGTTAAATTTTGTAATTGCGGTCGCCCCCCAGCAGGGAATGTCAACCCCTCCGAGTGTATTTCTGACATGAAATAAAGCTCCTCATAAAAAACCTATCAGCCGTTCGGAGGCGGCTTAGTCTAAACTGTAGGCCTCTCCGTTTGTTGGAAAAACATCAAGACCACAAATTGGAGGCAGAACTCGGCCGAGAATCGCTTCAGCGGTTACAAAGCGCCAATTAGTATATTGTATGCATATATATGCGTAAGAAGATGGAGTAGATTCTTTTAATATCAATAATAACTAGCTCCTAATTACCTTGAAGCCAAAAATGAGCTTAGTTGCTGAACACAATTTTTCACTAAAAAAGTGGTCTTCGGCCAACTTTCCAAGAGCCCATTCATCAAAAATTCTGCGTTGCGGTAGGTCGTTCGGCTTCAATTCTTGTACCAGCTGTATTTTGAAAAGCTTCACACATAAATCCTTCCTCTAAGTTTTCTACGTTGTTGAGTAACAGAGGCGAAATTTAGCCACAATAGCCCGAATAGCCGTTTCAGTGGGTTGCTTAAACTGACCATAAAATGCAAGAAGCGCGCGATGAACTTTCTTAACTGTTAATTCATGGTTAAATTATAGACCAAGCTGTAGCCAACAAGAAGACTTTAATATTTTTCAAATACCGAATCTAATTTTTTCCAAAATCTAAACGAGTTGAATGGAAAAGCATAAATTCACTTGGGACTTGGCAAAGATATTCAAGAATTCAAGTTGAAATTGGTCGCATTTAAAAACCAAATTAATGAAAATGATTTTACTTTTTCCCAGTGTTAGACACAAATCAATATAATGAAGAATTTGAGCTAGGTTACGATACAAACATTTTCATTCAATATATTGATATTTTGGTTAACGCGTTCGATTCCCGATTTGAAGATCTCCAAAAGTTTCAGTTGGCATTCAAATTTCTGAAAACTCCTTCGTTTGTTACCCAAATAAATTCACAAATTGTCAGATCTTTTCGGAAGAAAGAAAACTCATTTGGAATTAGATACTTCGTTGATAAATGAAGAAAGTGACTTGCCAAATAAAACGGGAGTTGCATTGTGGAGGTGTTTGTTATCTGAATTCAATTTCTTGGCACTCAAAGACAGTGTACAATAATTTTTATGCGCTTGTGAAGCGTGATATTCAAGTCTAGCGCGACGTAAAAATATATACCGCAATGCAATCGCAACAAAATTTGGAATCCGAACTCATCCAATCGAAGCCAGACTTTGATAAATTCAAAGAAAAAAAATGTAAAAATGTCATACATCGCATTATGAATCGAAAATAAATGAAAATACGGAATTTCACTGTTTTTCTTAGGTTTTGGAAAAAGTGGCCATTAAATAGATCTGTTGGCCACTTCCGTGGCGAAATGCGCATTCTGACATTTTTCTGATTACAATCAACCACAGGTGTATACTTGTAAATGTGTGTATTTGGGCTCCGAATTCAGTCACTAAATCAATGAAAAAAATTCCGGGAATAATAATAATATTGTAAGTAAATGAACCTCCAACTGACTTGACCTAGTGCCAACTGTTCTCATGATCTTTACATACTCGTACAAATAATACGATAGTAACAACAAACAACAAAACAAAAATTAAACAAGTGGCACTTCTGGTTTAAAATGCAAGTTTGTACTTCGCAAATGGTTTATGTTACATAAAGATGAGATATTGGATATGGCTCACAATAACCGAGCAACCAGATAGCGAAGGCAATGTCGGATCGATGTCACCAGCATTTCAATAGGAACTGTCTCTTGAATGCTATTTCATAGGAAGCAGCCATTAGCCCGGAGTCTAAGGGTGACCTTTATGCAACGAAAGATGACTTCAATATATCCTTAACCAATGACGCTTAATTACTGATTTATTAAAGAATACGTAAAGCATCCTGGCTGGCAGATCCAATTATTACATACGTCAATCAAATAGAGAGTATTACCAGGTATTTAGAACCAAACGTTTTATAGCTAAACCTACTAACTATAAAACCTTATATTAAAGTAGCTCACTAAAGAACACTCTTCTAAAATTGTTTGGCAAATACCGCCTTTCCAAACAGCCAAACATAAAATTCATGTACGCCTCCGCTTCCTCTCAGCCCAATTTGACTTATTTTTAATAATTTTTTTTTTACTATAAGCACACTATAGTAGATTATTACTCACTGGTATATTGCTTTAAAGGGCTCAACCAGTGCAACAGCAATAAAAATATGATTTTTGGAAATTGAAAAAAAAACTTCTGCATTGAATGTTTTACAGTATCAGCAGTATATCTGTCTATGAACAAGTTATATTCACATAAATATTTTTTTCAAACGGATATGCGCTATCCGTGGATACGGAAATGAAAAAAAAAACACAAAAGGCATATAAGAGGATTACTTGGACAGTAAAGTGACTCGCAGTTGTAGTAAAAACAATGTAACCCAAAAATTGGCGTCATCTTGAAAAAAAGTTGAATATTAGATTAATAATCAGACGACATTATCCATGCCAGATTTATAATTTTAACCCGATCAAAATAATGTTGTATACGATAAAAAAATGTACGATCGGGTGATCAACTTTTCAATTATAATGGCAACAAATTTCGAAAACGAAGCTTCGAGAAAAACGCATTTGAGAAGAAATACATGACTGATCCAACACGTTTTAGGATTACGTCGAATCTATATGCAATAGGAGAATATCAAAAAAATCTATTTTTTTGAAAGTGTCCCACTCGTTGAGCCCCTAAACAAAATACACGCATCCCACTAGGACAATGAATAAGAATTTCTGTGGAGGAAATAATGAAAATTCAATTTACAATTACATTTATAATGACTAGCCTAGTACGTCTTGCAACTTTGGAAGATGAAAATTTGTATTGATTAATTTGTTGCCGAATTTATAGCATACAAAACATTTTTGCTTTTAAAGTCAAATTTTGGTTTTAAATAAAATTATAAAGTCATTTATGTTCAATGCAAGTTTTTAACACTTAACAGTGTTTTAAGACCAAAGCACAATAGGTCCGGAATTCCCTGTATAAGCTTAACACAAGAATTATCGATTGCAAATATTACGCTCTTCCATTTCTTATACGAGCACATTATTTCAGGGATTATCTGAAATATATCTCACTGAAATCGGAACAGCAAAGTGGCGCAGTCAAATAGTCTAGTTTATATCTATCTTTACTTGTACTTTCCTTCTAATATTAAACTTAAAAAAAAAACTTAAAATGATGCATTAATAGAGGAACAAACCTTAATGTATGGTAGGCTTTAAGGGGCACACCTAGTGTGAAATTTCAAAAAAATCGATCTCAGATTTCGGTAGATTACACCTTTAAAAATAATATATTAAAATTTCAAATCGATATCTCAAATAGTTTTTGAGTTATAGCAATTTAAAGAGCAGCCGCTCGGCAGCTAGAGAGTCTCATTAGCTACGAGTGAAAACGATCATTATATCTTTAAACGCGATTACTCAAAAACAAATGATCCGATCCCAATCGATTTTTTTTACATGCTCTATATATAGTTTTCCGTACAATGGCCTATCGATTTTTGATCTGATCAAAAAATCGAATTTGGCAGTCCAAAAACGACCAAAATTTTGGGTAAAATTCGAGTATTTTTTTTTGTAAACGCCGCCATATTGTCAATTTTTGATTTCTTTTATCTTAGTCCATTGTACAGATAATATTATCAAGTACAGATTTTTTGATTTTTGATTTCATCCACGGAGAAGGCCGAAATCACTGCAGCAGTGAAGGACCACTCTTTCGCGCCGTTGGAGATCGACAATAACTTAAAAAATATTTAATTTTTTTCTTCAAAAATTTCACTGTATAATTTTGAAACATGTATAAATATATTCTTAAAAATTTTAAATAATTGATAAAGTATTTTTTTTTTTGTTAATAAAAAAACTCCCAAAAATCACCTTTTTTTAGACCATTCCCCTTTAAATAGCGGTTATATTTGCAACTAATTTTATTTAATCTACGTAAGATGTAAAACCAGCTACACAACTTTGTTTTCTTTCGATATTTCTATGCTTTTATTATCTTCACTGCATTTTGATGTGGATTGCGAATTTTTGAAAGGTTACGACGCTACTCGCTTGATGACTTTTTATTGCAGCCAAAGCGAACAAAGTATGGAAAATGGAAATATAAATACTATTGAATACAGGAAAAAAGTGTAAAGAAGCACAAAGTACCGCAAGCATCAGCAATAGAAACATTATAATTCAACTGTAAACATTTATGCCACTGAATCGGCATGCATACTCACACACTCATGCAGTTAGTTGCCCATCCACCAGCTGATCGCTCATCCAGTTTGGTCGGACACTCGTTTACCGTCAAATTTTCAGCGGTGCGCTTGCACTTGCAAACCATGTACATTCTAAAAATATACAACACAGACGACATACGCGCATATAAATATATATTTACACACATGGCTATCTAATTTTGTTATTTATGGCAGTTAGCGATGTGGCATCTCAATTGAATTGATGCTGTTCAATTAGAAAGAGTATGCGTCTACAGTGCGTATTGAGTCTTCGAAAACCTTGCAAATATTAGTGAATGTAAACAGCAACTCGCTCATATTCTCAGTTGTCCGGTCAAATTTAGTCACATTGCAAATGCCATTTCATTCTGTTTGTTCGAGCCTTTCAATTAAAGGCATGCAGCTAAAGTCATAAGAATGAATA